TTGTAAAAATTAAAGGTAACTACTTGTGGATTTCACTTATCGCGGGTTATTTTCGGAACACAACCACTAAGAAAAACGAGGGATCGCTGTAAACCAGACGCTCTTGACGTTTGTTGTGAAAACACAACAAATCTCTCACTGCAGAGCTGAAGAGAACAGCGGTCGATTTTTAGACATCTGAGGTAGAGAAGATCAGTGGATAAGATCGGCTTCACATGCAAGCATCGGCCGATCACCGATCTCCCAAAATTAGATAAATCGGTGCATCTTATAGTTCTTATCAGTTCCCTAGTTGAGGGGCTAAAAGCAGCAGCAGCTCATATTAGCAATCAGCTTACTGACGTCGGTCCTGGTAAAAACGTCTTTGAACCAAAACTTAAAAACAACCTTGACTTTTCGAGCGTGTGACTCTGCTGATTTCAGCGTCATCGCCGTGGCGTCCCTGCCGCAGTCGCCGGCTGCTTGTGGCTCTTCCTCTTGGCTTTCATTTTTTCCTTTTTGTGGAGAGTTGATGTCATTCAGACTTTGGTTTAGGCCTCTTGTGTATGATTGTGTGTATAGAGTGCTAATGAGGGGGGGGCGGGAGGAGGATGCGGAGTCGGTGGGATACAGCTGGACGGAGCGGGAGACTGTGGTGAATAGGTAACCATGGCAACTCTGCTGGCTAAGATTTAAATGTGGAGAGAGGAACGAGAGAACGAAAACGGGGGGAGCGAAGACGGAAGCTGCAGCGTGGATGTTTGTAAGAGAACGAGTCAGGGTGAGGGGTTAATGTGCATCATTGTTGCAGGTTAATTTTTCATCAAACTACAAGGTCAGTGCAGCGTTTACCCCGCACAATGGACGCCACAGCACTCCAAACAGGGCAGGGGTGAGAGGTTGGCAGCGCTGGAAGGGGGAAAGGATTCGGATTCGAGCTGGAAAACGAGGAGAGGATGAGTTAGTGAGAGTTTTCAGAGAAAAGGAGTGTTTTAAATACAGTATGGCCACCAAAACGATTTACAGTAAAATATTTTATTTACACAAACAGCAATATGTAAGAGTTTAAAATAAATCAGAATACAAAATGTCAAATTCAACAAAAATTTATAAGAATGAATCAAAAATGCATACATTTGAAATACTGAATGAAAAACAAAAATTAGTTTTTTATTGAAAGAAACTGATTTGGAAAAATGTTATTTTGTTATTTTTATTACTTGTATAAATTATTGTGATTTTGTTTTTAAAATACCAAAATTTCCACTTAACTTCATATTTTGGTCTGTCTGATGATTTTTAAATATTAACTGATTGATCATTTGGTACTTGAATTGACTTTTTACCAAATACTCTTTTACTTCAGTCATTTCTTGGGCGCCTCCTTTCGCTGTAAGTTGATAAAACATGTTACTCTGGTAATATTTTGGCTCCTCTGCCCTCCTGAGTGAAAGTGTTTCCTGTTTTAGCGTGTCGGCCTCTGGCCTGCTGTCGGCACCAACTAGTCTCACTCTCTGCGATGGACTCGTTCCTCCCAACATCAGAGCCACCATCTTAACCTCAGCTTTCTTTTTTTGCACCTTTCCACTCAGATGATGTCTACCTGAAATAGCTCTGGCACTTAAACCTCGCTGCGCAGAGCGAGGGGGGTGAAGTGTGTCTGGAAATTAAAACATGTGAAAGAGGTGGTCCAAAAATAACACGGAGCTTCTCTTTCTCCATCAGTTTCGGCGGCGGGGGATACAGATGTTGCAGCAGTCGCGTCTCCGTGCCGACTGCTGCGCTGCAGCTTGCCGTCCCACCGCTGCTGCTGCAGAGATGCTGTCGCCTGTGTGATTTATCGCCGTGTCCTTGTGTGTGTTTTAATGTCATTGAACTTCGGCGTGCGCGTTATTGATCGGTCAACCAATCAGAGCCCACCTCCCCGTCTTCTGGAGGAAAACTCCACCTGTTTCATATTCATCCCTGTGTTGTCTTTTAGCTCCATCTCTCCGTTTTCTGTGTTGTCACCCCCTCCCTCCATCTCTGTCTGCTTTATATTCATCTCTCCATTGAGCCTCGCTCACTCTTCTCCTCTTTCTCTCCCAGATTATTAATATTAATACCTCTTCTTTCCTTTTTCCCCAACTACTGATCTCTTTTCTGCTCCTTCCACTATTTATACCTCCATTCCTTTCACCCAGCCTTCCCTCCATCTGTCTCCATCTTCATTTCTTTCTTCTTGTGTCTCTCTCTCCGCAGCTGTTCAGTATTCATCTATTACTGTACTGTTGATAATTCCCTCCTCTGCCTGCAGCCATACAGTCATCTATCAGATTAATAATCCTTCTCTTCTTCACAATCTCTGCGCCCCTTCCTCGGGATGCTCAGCGTGTCGGATGGGTTTGTCCCATCATTACAACCATCATCATTAATAACCAAATGCCCTTATTTGGGGTTATTGGGGTCTAAATAACCTGCAGGGGGAGCATTCTTGACCGCTCATCTATTAGCGGTAATGTGCAGCGGGCTTTTCGGCGCCGTCCTGCGGGCCCCGGAGCCTTCAGCGCCGCGCTCACACAGGAACGCGATTAGCATTTTGGTCTGCTGCGGGGAAAATGCCACAGGATTGGGCGGGCTTATTGTTTTCAGGGTTCAGACCTTTTAATAAGTCTGAGTTTAATTGCAGTTGATAAGTGTGGCATGTTCACGCATCAATCCATCATTGTCGTATTAATTGTTATACCTTGGTATAATTAGTGTTAACAAATGAGCGCGGGGCAGAGATGGCTGGAAGCCGCTACCTCACCCTGGTGATGTTATTAATGGCTCTCAGAGTTGGGACCAAATGTCCCGTTGCACCCTGTCAGCACCGTTATGTTTAGCTTTTTAACTGATGGTTTGTTCACAACCTCATATTTCATTATTTTTAGTAATTGAAAACAGCAGATTTTCTTTAAGTTCTTCATTTCAAGCCAATATTCCTGATTGATGCAGATGATTCTTCAGTCGGTTCATCAACACTTGTGTTAGAGATCCTAAACGGGACCAACTGTTCAAACGTTTTGCACGTTTCTGTACTTCCACTTGGATCTCAACTGCTTAAAAAAACACCCAGAAGTTTTTTGGCAATAAGTTCAAGTTTTTTGTTTTCTGGAAAATTAGTTGGTCCAAAAACCCCAGCGAAGCCCACCCCGTTACCTAGCAACCCCAGCAGAGTTCCACCCGTTACGTAGCAACCCCAGCAGAGCTCCACCCGTTACCTAGCAAAACCCAGCAGAGTTCCACCCGTTACCTAGCAACCCCAACAGAGTTCCACCCGTTACCTAGCAACCCAAACTGAGCTCCAGCTCATTTGGTCAACTGGTTTTATCACTGTGTTCGCTGTACAATGGCTGCTAGAAAAGACAAGTGTTTCGTTGTTGACTTACCATCCAGAATCCCTTGCTACATTCTAACTGGTTGTGCAGGAGGCCCCACTTTTGCTTTTAAAAGTTGTATGGTTGTATAATTGTGCATTTGTTTGAAACCATGTTCAAGTGTGAGTGTAAACTTTGATTTGGGGGCGTAGCCAGCAGCAGCGTATTTGTGTTTAAAGGGACAATACACACTAAAACATTATGAACTGAGCAGACTAAAATCTGATTATCTAAGAATGATTTTGTAAAAAATATATATATAATAAACATGCTTTGTATAGAACATGCATCTATCCTAACAAGGAAGCATGATAGGTCACCTTTAAAATACAGTTACAATACAAAACTTGGCATTTCAAAATATCCTTCAATTTATTTTACACATAAACAAAAAGTCAGTCCAGTTATAAATGTACCTCAACTTATCAAGAGATTGAATCTTATATTATTGAGTCGTCTTCTGATGGTCTCAGACCTGTGAATATTTCATCCATGAATGCTTATAGCTGCTTATTTTAATTGTTCAAGCATAAAATATAACTTAATTTTTTATATTCACCCAGTTCAAATCCATTAAAGGAATGGCAGGTTATGGCATGGTGAGCAATAACATGTTTCCTTATTTAAAAAGTAATTGAATTATTTGACTATTTCCATATTGTAATGTCTTTCTAGTATTAGTTAGTAGTTTAATGAAAAATCTGCAGAATGTGACTTTTTTTATCTGATGAATCAATTAATCATCAGAATAATTGATAGAGTAATCAATTCCTGATAATTAATTTTAGGAATTGATATTTCAGGAATTGATTAGACTTCAAATACTTTGTCCAAATTAGTTACAGCCTTAATATGGATAAAATTTAAATTTTAAAAATACTTTGATAACATGGTAAACAGAGACAATAAAATCTATTTTTTAAAGTGCAAAGAAGTTATTTCAGAGCAAAATTAAGCAAAAATCTTTTTCAGAGTAGAGAAACTACAACATTTAAGAGGTAATCATATATAATAAGTTCAAAAATCAGTGAATAAATAAAAATTTGCCAACAGGTGAATCTGTGACCACTGAGCCATAAACATACGAGATCAACTGCAGCTGTTATTTCTGATCAGTTTCATATAATCTGACTTTAATTTAGCCTGATGGTTGTATTTTTTATATTTCTTTCTGGAAAAACCAACCATTTTTCTGCAGAGACTCCACGAGTTATTTTCTCCTTCTTTAATAGTTTCGGGTTGAATTAATGATGCTCATCCATGTCGGGATGGATTCTCTTTAATGTTCACTTCAGTCAGAAAAACCACATGTTTCCTATTTACTCTGCATGTTTTGTTGTCTAGACCTTTTAACAATTAGATGCACCAGAATCCTCTTGCTGCGCGATGGGATTTGATTACCGGCAGAATATCTGTTCAGGGATTATGTGGGATTTGATGTGAGCAGCGCCACAGAACTTCTAATACTTCTGACAGATTTTTCTTGACAATCCCTCCCCTGATAAGCTATACTGTAGATGTCTTGGTATTGTTTGTTTTGTTCGATGTGTGCTGGTGAAGACACAAAGTGCAGTTTGTCTCTAATATCTGCTTCTCTCTTTCTCTTTGTTTTTCTCATCGCAGTAACTCCTGGGCTCTTCTCACTTCACAAAACGCCTCACTCAAATCTCCTGACAGCCCAAGGAGGAAAAAAGAGCAGCATCTGTTTATCTGCATACTTCTATGTTCAAGAAACAAGAGAAACAGAGACTGACAGAGGACAAATGAGATCTCGGAGGATGTGGAATTAGAGGGAACAAATTGATACTGGAGGACCGAAGGGAAAGTGAACCACAAATCCACCGACGTGGAGCCACCTCACCTGTATCTCCGGATTAAAGAGCGGGGTCATGTCCCAGTTGCCATGCGCATTGCCACGCTGACCTGCCTTCCCGGCCCTTCCCCCTTCCTCTTTCTATTGGTCCATCTGCTCCTGCGGCTCCTTCTCATCCTCCACGGGCCGCAGTTAGCGGGAGCCGCCTCCACCTGCCCTTCCCTCTGCACGTGCTCCAACCAGGCCAGCCGGGTCATCTGCACCAGGCAGAACCTGGAGCAGGTGCCCGAAAGCATATCAGTCAACACGCGATACCTCAACCTGCAGGAGAACTCGATACAGGTAAATACCGCAGAAACCAGGTCGCCTTTCAGCGAACGTACGGAGACAACGAATGTTGCCTTTTGATTTGACTGATGGTTTTCACACAGCGACCAAATATTTCAGCTAAAGTTCATATTTGTCCCTCAGATTTATGTAAACAGCAGTAGAGGCTCCTCCCCTTCCATGAAAAAGGCGGGAATCACCATAGCAACCAAATACATGTTTGTTTTTCCTTCCATCCATTTTCTTCACCCTTGTCCCTTATTGGGGTCGGGAGGGCTGCTGGTGCCTCTCCAGCTTCGTTCCGGGCGAGAGGCGGGGGTCACCCTGGACTAAATAATAAACTCTTTCAATATGTGTCACAAACAGTGCAGTTATTTATGTAAACAATGGCACTAGAGGCTCCTCCCCTTCCATGAAAAAGGCAGGAATCGCCATAGCAACCAACTACCCATTTGTTTGTTACAAATTTTTACACAAAAATTTGGTTCAGTTGGGGACAAATATTGCAACATGTGTTACATTTTCAGCTGCTGCGGTTCTCTTTCACACTGTTATGTGTCAAACCTGTTCCCGTCCTCGCCTGTGGTGGCGCTAAAGAACCACTGACCAAAACGACACAAAAAGAAGACACAGAGCGTAACTTCCATCGTCACAAAATGTAAACAAAACTGGAGCAGTGTCAGACTTTAGCGGTTGTAGCACTAGCGGAACAAGTCAGCGTCGGGCCGGGGCCAATTACTGGGCCCCTAAGGAATCACCAGGCCCCTTACGTAGAGTGAAACTGAAACTGTTGAGCAGGAGGGGGAGGGGGGTGTATTTAACATTAAATACACCCTTCTCAACAGGCGTGGGCGCACTTTCTACGTCTCTAATCACATATTTCAATGACTTGAAACCATTCCTCCCTCCCTGGCACCTCCAGGCCCAGGCCCCCATCCGGCCCGGTTTGGGGGGCAGCAGCCCCCCCAGCCCCTCCTATAGCTCCGTGCCTGGGTTGTAGGATTTCTCTCCTA